ATGGTTTTCTTTCTTGATTAGCCTGTATTTCGTCCAGTACATCCTGACAAATGCCAAGGTGAAGTCCTAGCTCCTGCCACTTTGCAGCAATCTTTCCCGCCAGCTCATCTAGTTCAAGGTCATCAGGTTTGCCTTCTTTAAAAGCAACTATATGTGAAAGAGGAGAAACTTCCAGTTAACCAGTGATGCAGTTTTCTTACATATCAAAGTGATAATAACATCAGAATGACATATCGGTGGCCCAAGTTAACTTAAGCATACATTTGTATAGATTTCAACATTTCCTGGCCATGGTAGAACAAATATAGATCCTCATGAATAATCAATGGCCTTTTAGTCTATTAATATATTATTTATAAATAAAAGTAATCGAGATATTCAGCTGACTGCCTTGCACTGGTTTCAAAAGTGCAATCTAATGGTTCAACAAAATACTGTTTAACTTTTAATGGTTGGATTGGGTTTCTATGTTTCTTGTCCCACTGAAATTTCTATATTTACAGTGGGTGTTTCATGAATGCCCCTATCTTCAGAATTATTAAAGGGTGTTTTATATCTAAAGCTCCCCCACCCTCTGATAAAAATAGGTCTTGAAATGTTTAATTCTTTAACCCCTTTGACATTTCCATTTTTCCACTGCGTGTTTCATGAATGCCCCTATCCGCAGAATTATCAAGGGTTGTTTTTATATCTTATGTTCCCCCACACCCTGATAAAAACAGGTCTTGAAATGGGGGTAGTTTTCTGACGCAGTTCCACTCCTGCACTGGAAAATGGTGGAACAGTACCCAAGGACTGATGTGATACAGTTGATTGCTTTGGGGTCATGCTGGTTGAAAGCAGAGAGGCTGGGCACAGTGTTGTCATTTGTCCCCATTAAACTACAATGTAATTTCTGAACTACTAAAACAGCTTAGTAATCAGTTAGAGACAGGCTCTGCCTCTAGGGTCTCCCTGGGAATGTACAGGACATGTCACATGTGGGGCCATTCTCATACAGAAAGTGTTTATGAGGAGAATTATGGCTTTAGCTTTGGAGATTTCTGCATCTACTTTTTGCATCCTGTGGTGAAATTAGGTCTGATTTACATGTCTATAATTTATAATAAAATGTAATCTGCACGAGAAAACCATCCATCCTTATCATAAATAACTTGACAATTGCAGCCGTCATTACCATCATCCTCTGAACTGCTGCTAGCGTTGGTTGCAGCTTTAGACATTGTGATGATCTGCTTTGCCAATATCAGTTCTAAACAGTAACAAAGCAAAACTGCTAATTAATGAAAGGTCATACAGTTTGTAATGTCTCGTTTTGTAACAAAAATTATTTGACAGGAACCATGGAATATTAACTGCAAGAGTGCGAACCTGATTTAAATAAATTTATGCCTTCATGTTGACAGATTACATGTTGCATAAATGGAATGTTATGAGCAGTAATACATGTAAGCCTGGTCTACACAAGCAATTTTTGATGTGACAATTTTGATGTGACAAATTTGCAGGTGTATTTAATTGTGTTGTCTTATGTCACAGTGTGAACAAGTCAAAGTTTAGTGTGTCTTTGCTTGGACAGCAAGGCGGAGGTGTTAAATATGGTGCTAATGAACATATTTGCCACATTTTATGTGACAAACAGTCCTCACAAGCCATTTTTCACATCTGACAACTTTAATTTATCACACACCAGCTTTTTGGCAAAAATATTTATCACTTTAAAATTGGCTAATTTTCCTCCTCTACATGTACATGATCAGTAAAATCAACTTGTCAATAAGCAATATCCAGATGGAGGGTGGGTGCAAAATTACAGCAAACCAGGCCATAAGCAAGCGTGTGGGCAAAATGCAAATAAAGGAGGCCACCTTTTTTATTCCTCCACTCTCTTGTAATCCTTTTCTTGCTCTTTCCAACATTTGCAGTGATTTTAAGCCCTTTACAAATCTTTCCTACATGTACATGTATATGAGTATGGGGTTCCCAGAGCTCTGCTATAAATAAAGCTATCTCAGTCAATTTGCAGCGGAACCTATTGAAACTGTACATGCAACACACCTAAGGCTATTAATAAAAATTTCCACTCCCATAGCAACCCACTCTTTCCAGTCCCCTCTAACTCCACCTAACAAATGACTTTATGTAGTTATATGCTTGCTGGATCATGCAGATGAGGCACCATTGCCAAATATCAATATGGGAAGTTCAAGGTGACCAGAAAAGTCTTTAATATTGGGGAGGCCTGGAACCCAGTATGTTGCCATGGTAACAAAAATGTTAAGCTCATGTTGTGAAGCACCTCTAGTAAAGTCTTCCTGAAAAGAATGTATTGGCTGAGATATCTTTCTTCATAAAAGAGATATTTAGTAGTAGTAAACAGCATTTTGTTTCTCGTACAGATTACTTGTCTATGTTTTAAAATGGCCTTGATAAGAAAGATGTGATTTTCCTTGTAGTAACATTTAAACACTTCAAGTTGCACCCAATTAAATTCTATTGCTAAAATGACAGTAGATCAGGGAAATAACTAATATATATATTGAACTACTCACCACACCATCAGTAATAAATGAGAACTTTACATGTATGCAGCAAAAGCTTGATTCTTGAGTATCTCTAAAGTGGATAAGAATAGACAAGAAAAAATATGTTTTTATCAGTATCAGCTTAGTAAAATTATTCAATTCTGCTGACAAATTAGCATCCAGTTTACTGTATACACAGTATGTCTAGATTTATGAAAACAGTGTTCAAAATGAAATTGCATCCTACTCAAGCACGATATAAAAATTTAAAATGTCAGCCTTTTTTTATGAATTCCTCATACCCAGCCCCAGGGTAAGCACCTGTCACACAAAGCCAGGAGCTCAGAGGAAATAATAAAAATAATAACAATAACAAACAATAAAAATAATAATAATAATAATAACAATAATAACAATAATAATAAATAACAAAATAAACAATAAACATACTAATTCAGTAATAATAAATAAGGTAATAATAACAAAGGGTGAGGAGGATGGGAGCAAACACTAAAGAAACTCTAAAACTGATCAAGATGCCCCGAAGACTTCGCACAGTAAAAACTACAACCACATGTAAAGGCACATGGATAAATTGCAACAATAAACCACTGACCCGGGGGCACAGGAAACTGCTCCGCACCAGGCCTACTACAGTAACGCAAACCCAAGCAACAAACCAAATGCCACATCATGCCACCAAAAACGCTAATAAATGCCAATGCCATGCCAACGCCACGCCAACTACTGAGCAACATGCTCCTTGTCGTTAACTAAGTTAAATAAGTATATTTAACCTCATTTAATGCGCGAGTCACACAGGGAGGTTGGGTGCCCAGGAACCTGGGGGCTGGAGCTGCCCACCCCAAACTCAGGTAGCAAGAGCATCTCAAAAGCCTGCCCTTCCCTGCAACCCAGCCACAATCCCCACCTCCCCTGCCAAAAGGGCCTCTAGGCTGACCCAGACTGGAGAGATGGGGGCTCATGGCCCATAAGCCACAGCTCCCAAGGGGCCAGACCTGAGGCACCCAACCCAAGTAAAAGAAAACTCATAAACGCCAAACCTGCTACGCTGATACACCAGCCCGCCAAGAGAGCCAGCCGATGTGCAGACACAGTGCTGACAAACGCCACTAGACCAGCGACCTCAAGTCTTAATCAGGTGATCTGGCAGTCCCCAGGAAGGTGCTGTAGTGGCAGCACTAATCCGGAAGCTATGGCCAGAGCAACTACCCGAGCAGCCTACCAAAGACAGCAGTTGGCGTGTTAAGGGACGACCATCAGCAAAACAAAACAATGGCCCTGGGGAAGGGCCACACACAGCCAAGAAATTGCCCAGAGCTACCAAAGGGGAGACGACATTACTGCGCTGACCGATGCAGAGGCAGCAGCCAACGCGAAAAAGATCCGTCCTCAAGCACCTGCAGGGTATTGGCCTGCACATCACTAACCCCCAGGCCAACGCTTGGATCAAACAGAGAGTTAGCTGCAAACCCATCAGCATGCAAGAAACCAAAGAAACCAAGGCAGCATGCCGCCCAGAGCACGACGTGGCCCTGGGAGCCCCGGACGGAGGCCCCGGGTGAGTTGAAGAAAGGGCAAGTGACAAGCAGGGCTTTGAGGAGATCCAGAGGACCTGGGGCCGCAGCAAGGCCCACCCAAGGGGCCAGGCGTCTGAATCTTTGAAACTGAAAATGTAAAAGAGTGTCGGTAACAGATGAGGCCTTAAAGGAAAACGAACGGCGCACTGCCAACAATGCTAAAAAATGCATCAAAAACATTAATTTAGAGTCCCGGAAGGTACCAGAAGACAGAACAGCCACCACCGACTCATTGTCACACAGGAACTCGACCCGCCTAGAAGACCACTGAGGACCCCATAAGTATGCAGCCACAACAATGGGAAAGAGCTCCCTGTACGCAATAGACAGGGGTTGCTGTGATGCTGACCATGGACCGCAGAACCACT